TTTGCAGCAAAATTCCAATCAATCAATCAATCAATCAATCAATCAATCAATCAATCAACAACATTATTTAGGTATCAATCTTCTATAGCAAACTACGAATGGTTCACAAAGTGGCCAGTAGTTGGTTGAAAAGAGCCAATACAAATAGAGCCAACAATTAGCTTCAGGAAATTCTTGAAATCAACAGCAATTCATTCTGTCACAAATATTCTTGCTTACAAAGCATTAAGGTTCCACTAGCTCCATGATATTTCGTCAATATACGCTTCCTGAAAGTACGTCACCTTTGCCATGGAGCCTCATTTTTGTGGCTGAGTCGTGGACTGATGTCACATACACGCAAACGAGGCACTATGTGGACAAATTGACATACTTTCCGCCATTCTAAGAATAAAATATTTGCAGAATAACGTTTTTACAGATAGATTATAATAACAGGTATTAAGAAACGAAAGCTACAGTAATTGGAAGTCATCTAATGACATCGCATGTGGCAACTTCTACTATGAAAAAATTGATAAACGTTAAATTGATAAACGATAAATTACATTATTTCTTAGAATGACACAAATATACCAAAAATCATGATAATAATTATACACAATTTGGGTTAGTGGTACTGTATTAATTTCCTTTTTTAATATGCTTTTCCTAGACACAAATCCAGAAGAAGACAGAGATAGTGGAATCCACAAAGCAAGCTCAAGAAAAACTACAAAGATTGAAGAAATTTATCCAAGCTGTTCATTCATCTTAAAAAAGAGATATATTTTTGAAGATAGATTTTTATTATATGGAGACAGAGACTCCGGGAGATAATGAAGTTAAAATAACAAATAGCTCTAGGAGCAAGTATATTGGATAATTATGCGTACTGTATCGTATTCTATCATCTTATCGTGCTCTATCTCCCATGGAGTCATCGTAGCCATGTTGGGTAAATTTGTCAAAAGCTTTCCTTCTTTTCAAATAATTCAAAATTCACCCAACGTGTGACGAAGATTACTTTCCACTTTGACTCCTTCATATTGCTTAGCAAAACCGTGGATCCTTCCTCTTGCCCAGAAAACGTATATCATGTTTTCGTGCCAAATATTCGGGAATGCGACTACATTCCAAACGTAATGAGTAACGTATATGACGAAAACGTTTTTTGAACCATATCCTATAATCGGCGTTTTATTCTTTTGGATAAACGCGGATATGACTGTTAAATGACGTTTAAAGAGAAGATAAGTCATCCGTCCGTCAGTATCCGCGTTTTACTGAACGTTTTGACACGAAAACAAGGAAGCGATCCGTGGTTTTGGTAATAGCAGCCCAGTTTGTGTTATTCATTTGCGATGTCTCTGGATGTCTCGAAAATCTAAAACTCCAAAGTCCAGTGCCGGCTTTGACGTAGAATACTATAGAAGACTTTCTCGACGCCTACTTGTAAAGCGAAAATAAAAAAAATTCACCGTTGCAAGCGTGCAGGGCCAACTAACGTTGCTAACGAAGGTCCGTTCAAATCCGTCCAAAATGTTGATCCATCATCAACCAACTTAGTTGCATGTAATATATTATTTGATCTGACTCAGTTTGGTTATGTAGGCTGCTATATATAATGAGTCAGCTTTGATTCTATTCAATACTTTCATGCATAGGTGTACGGGGTTGGCTGAAGCTTTCCTGGGAGGGGGGGCAGTTGAAAATGTGCCCGAATTTTTACAGAAGATTCTAATGAAATAGATAACCTGAATTTAATATATTTTCCGATAAATCTGCCCGAATGTTCTTGATATTCCCTAACCCGAATTTCCATGGTTTTCCAATTGAACGGGGCTTTAGTTGAGTGGCCGTTGTATTGTTCCAACAACAAAGATCTGATATACTAGAAATGTGGATTGTTGACATCATAAATTCTCCCCTTGTACATATTTTCTGTTGTTGAAATTGGTTCGTATTGGGGGTCAAGACCCGCGCGTTTATCATGATTGACTGATTGAACGCTCTTCGCATGCATGAGCTTTGAGAAGACTACAACTAACCTTCAAGTTTGACTTCAAATTTCCGATTGGAGGTAGCGTTCCAGTTATATTCATTTCAGCGTTCCGCATTATATTTATTTCAATGATTGAAACCCAGAGATTTAGAAAGTAACGTTAAATATTCCAGTTACAGACGTACTTGTCAATAAAAACTACGTAATAATTATAAATAGAGCAATGCATAGTCGTTCAAAGATCGAGAAATTCTGTTTTTATGCTATCATGGTATCTAGAACATTAACAGTTGTCTACCATTAGAACCTGGACACTCTGCCATCCATTGCTCAGGACCCTGAACAGGTGGGCAAATTGTCCTCAAGTTTAAATACATGCCTTAATTAATATTTAACAGCTACACCAAGCGATGTATTGCATTACAAAATGTCTTCTCTTATTAATAGCCTTTAGTATAATTACATAGGTGATTATTGAAAATTCTCCACGCTGATTGGTTGCCGTTGTGGTGATTATTACGCGATAATCACCTAAGCAATTTTCAAAATGGCGGCCGAAGCCTTTTTGTCAATTAAATGACGAAGAAATGTGTATTTTCTTATTTTTTTCCAAATAATCACCTATGAAATTACACTAAAACAATTATTCACCTCAGGCTCGGTGATTATCGTGAATAAAAACCTCGACTTCGTCTCGGTTTTTATTCACCGATAATCACCTCGCCTTCGGCGAATAATTGTTAAATAATTGGTGTTTGTCAAACCTAATTACAACTTCTATGGCAACAGACACTTCACCCTTAATTTTTTCGCACCTAGTGCGGTTCCTCATGTAGGGCGCATATTAGGGAGGGTTGGGTGCGAAACTCCCCTTAGCGTCCGAATGTCGGTCCCATTCTTCCTTGATACTGTGCGAAAACTCGGTTCCAAAATTCGGTACAAGAATTCATATTTACCTCTGTCAGTGAATTTGAATTCCCAGGCGCCTAAAATCTTTTGTCTTTAAAACAATGTCGATTTCTTGGGAAATTCCGAGGTTGCGTTTTTTTTTATACACCCTGTATTATACAACAATATAAAATAATTAATGCAATGTTAACAAAGCCTAAAGAAACGTATTATTGGGAATAATCATTACTGCATGGCATTGAGTGAGCAAAGTGTCTATCGAAACGTTTTCACACTTTCTTAAGTCCTCATTGTTGTTATCGATTAACATAAATTTCAATTTGAAATGCTCACTACAGTGCACATCTGTAAAGTGGCCATGGTTAACCACACCACTTGTTCGACGCTTATGCTTTATATGTGACTTGTAATTTGCCAAAGGAGGCTTGAAATGGGTATAGCACCAATTCTTTCAGTTCCTCCATAGCAATATATATGGTCTCTTCTCTCTCGTAATTATTTTAAATTATCCCCAGGGATTCCAAGTATTTTTAGACATCTATACTTTGCGTATTCTCAATTTCATCCGCAAGCCTGATTGTGGCAGACCGCCGGCCCAAATTGCTGCTCCATATTCTAGCACGGATCTTATCGTCAGATAGCATGGTCTTTGTACGTTCAATTCTTGAAACTTCGAGATCAAATACATATAACTATATAATTAATTCATTTTTAGTCATGCATGCATTCATCTCTTTGATACATATTAAACATTCACACAAAATAATGTTTAGAATGAATAGTGTAACATTCCCTGCCTCCCCTTTGTGACATTAGTCAAATAGAAACAAATTAAAAATACAAAATTAAATCATTTAAAATATACAACTGCTATACCAGAAGTAGCTCAAGTGTAACGAGTAAATACTCGTAGAATGGATTGCCAACGTTATACAAGGGAATGGTAATTCACTATATTTATATATTTAGCTTCCGACGAAGGCGGTACAGTGGCATGCTGGCATCGTGGCAGTGCTATACCCTGTTTACTATTTTTCTATGATTCGTCTGCCGGGCATATATATATATATATATATATATATATATATATACTATATATATATATATATATATATATATATATATATATATATATATATATATATATATATATATATATATATATATATATATATATATATATATATATATATATATATATATATACTGAAGACTATATTCAAAAAAATAGTCGATGAGTTGACGTAAGGTAGAAGAGCGCTCAATACCATAATAAGTAGAGCGGAATTAATTCAGTCAAGGTTTGAATTTTTGCGTCGCTACTCTGAGTTTCACGCTTTACGCGATTATCAGGCAACTGACAGATATTATTCAATATTCATAATAAATATAGGTTATCATTTTACAACTTGATTAAGCAGGTATCTGGTTACATGTCTACATTTGGAAACCAAGTCAGAGCGTTTGTTCAGGCATTCAGTTTTCTTCGCTTTCATAATAAGTAGTTTCTCCTCGAGGCATAAATTACACCGTTTAGATCCTGGTTTGTATGCTTTGACTTTCTTCATAATGGACCACTTTATTGTATACTGACTTTTTTCAGACTTCAGTTTCCAGACGTACTTGAACAGTTCGGTGTTGTTCTTCTTGTTGTTTCTTTTCTTCTTGTGTTTGCTCTTGTCGCTCTGACTTGTTTTCCAAATGTAGACATGTAACCAGATACCTGCTTAATCAAGTTGTAAAATGATAACCTATATTTATTATGAATATTGAATAATATCTGTCAGTTGCCTGATGATCGCGTAAAGCGTGAAACTCAGAGTAGCGACGCAAACATTCAAACCTTGACTGAATTATATATATATATACATATATATATATATATATATATATATATATATATATATATATATATATATATATATATATATATATATATATATAT